GCTCCATTTCTATGACCCAGGTCTCCCCCTCCTTTACATTCTGCCTCAGCTTGGACATCTCCTGGCTTTTCCTTTGAGGATCAGTGTGGGTCCCCTTCTCGCAGGAAGGCTCTAGGGCCCTCCAGCTGCCCGATCCCTAGCTCTGGGAAGTATGGCCTACACCTGCTGAGACCCTGCCTGGACTGCTGTGGCATGTGTGGAATTTGGCACAAGGACTCCGTGCCTGCTCCTCTGTTCTGTGTAGTACACAGTGCAAGGCTGGCACGCTCAAGGGCAGGGACTGTTCCAGCTCATCTCTGTCCCCTACTTCTTCCTCTCAGGCACCATCTGGCCCGAGATCTGGCCCTGGAAGCACTGGCCAATGCCTTTATTCCTCATCTTGCTGAGCCAAGGCTTTCCTAGTGCTGAACCATCTTTTCTGACAAGGCTTCTGAGTGTAGGGCAGTGTCTTCCTTCTGGGCGCATTTTGCCCTTGGGCCAGGGCTGCCCTGGGTAGAGCAGAGCATTCACAGGAATCTGTGTGTTTGCTCATCTGGACATGTACATGTCACTGGGAGATTAGACTGACATGGGAAGGCAGGCAGATGGAGCCAATAACCTGACCTGAGATCTCTGGCCACACCCAGGCAAGGGAGATGCAGACCTGGGACACGACACTGGACTCCAGGAGGTGGGCCGATGGGATTGCCCCCAGAGCCCTCTCACTGCAGGGTCAGCATGGAGCTCTGCCGGCCTGGCCATGGAGTGCCGATCACTTGATTTGCCCTGCAAAGTGCTAGGGTGCTGCCTTCTCTTTGATCCTGATTTAGAGTTTATAAATCAATGTGGTCTTCAGGAATCAGTAGGCAGAGCCTGGAAAGAGACAGGAAGGCCCTTGGACAGGGCCCCTGGTAGCTGTTGGAGGCGCCTCAGGTGGTTGTACCCAGCCTCAAGCCTTGGTTTTGTGGCTGAGGAAGGCCGTCATTTTTCTGAGGCCTGGGCAGTGTTCTGAAGGACATTTTGGCAACTGATCTTGGTGAAATCTAACAGTGAGGCAAGGGTCATGATACCTGTTTTAAAGCTAAGAAGATGGAGGCTGAAAGATGAGAACTCACTTTGGCTTTATAGACAATAAGTGATAGACTTGAATCCTGGCTTGAGTCCCTCCAATGCCCATGCACTGACCTGGATGTTAAATTCTCATCCATGGATGGGAGATGTCTTACGAGTGGTCCTTGGAAGGGGTGAGTGGCAGTTGGGAAACTTGTACTCCCCCAGGAATAAAGACACACACACACACACACACACACACACACACACACACACACACACACACAGAGAACCACATGGACCCAGTGACAGATACCTATGTAATACTAGATACCTCAAGGGCTGGCCAGATAGCTCAATGGACTAAAGCACCTGCTTAGGCAGGCACAGGGACCAGGGTTCAATCTCCAGTGTGCCTTGCCAGCCCTGCTCCAGGGCACACTGAGATGGTAATTGAGACTGGGTGAGGTGGCGCATGCCTATAATCCCAGTGCTTGGGGGGCTGCAAACATGAGGATCACTATGAGTCTGATCTGTGTAGTGAGACCCTATAGATCATGTACTAAATATATATATTATAGTGAGACCCTATAGATCATGTACTAAATATATATATTATATATATAATTTCTAGACACTGCTATACAGGATGTTTTCACAGGCATAGGGATACGTAAACACTCATTTCTAGACCCGATGGGCAGATGGTTCTAGAAGTAGGAGCTCCCAGCTGAGCTCTCAGGGCCATGGATCCTATAAAGAGCTAGGAGCAGACTTCTGAGCCTTTGTCCAGCTGGTCAGTAGCAGGCAGGCTGGTTAACATTGGCCAAAAGAACAGGTAGCAAAGAGAGGAAAGACAGGGCTAGGGAGATAGCTCAGTGGTCTAAGCGCCTGCCTGGCAAATGCAAGGACCCAGGTTTGCTCCCTAGTACCAAATGCCATGCAGGCACTGTGGTGAACCAGCCACCAAAACCAGGCATGGTGGCTGAGACAGAAGGATGGCTGTGAGTCTGAGCTGTGTAGCAAGACCTGTACCATATAAATAAATAAGGGATTTTAAAATAGATATTAAAAAGAGGAAAGATGGTGGTCACTCATTCTGAGCTCTTACACAGAGACAACCTGGTAATTCTGAGCACACACACTGAAGCCAGATGGATCTGTGTTCAAATCTTCTCACAGTCTACAGGGTCACATTACATAGATCAAATTTGTAGTGATCTGCCTGTGTTCAGCCTCCCAAGAGCTGGGATTACAGGTGCGTGCCACCATACCTCAATCAGTCTCAATCAGCGTCTCATTGCTCCCTGGGGGCGGGGCCAGCATGGCAGGCAGTGGATTGAACCCTGGCCACTGTGCTCTGCCTAAGCAAGCGCTTTAGTCTGCTGAGCTATCTGGCTGACACTAATAAGTTCTCTCTCTCTCTCTCTCTCTCTCTCTCTCTCTCTCTCTCTCTCTCTCTCTCTTTCTTTCTTTGTGGTACCAGGGATTAAACTCAGGACCTTGTGCTTGCAAGGCAAGCACTTATGCTACTGAGCTATCTCCCTGGCCTCTTGTGTTCAAATCTTGCTTCTGTTATTAATTAGCTTTGTATCCTCTAGAAAATGCCTTTGCATCTCTGAACCTGTTTCCCTTGCTGTAAGGTGGACCCATGGCTGCTCTACTGTGCTTGGTTAGAGTGATTTTCAGTGACATCGGTAAAGCAGCCAACAGAGTGCTGCCCCCCGACCCGCACAGTCAGCTGGTCCTAGTTATTGACTTGTTTGTTTGTCAAATACTCTTTGTCCATCTTCCATGGACACAAGGAAGGGATCACATATTGGACCCAGAAAATACAGAAAAGTGTAGGAAGAAGACTCTGCTCTAGACCCTGTCTTCGCTGTTTAGACCATCCTGCCCATGTGATTCTGAAGACCCTGAGAGCCCTCTGACACACCTTCCTATGACACTTCCCTTAGGAGGCTTTCTGGCTCTCTCAGCCATCTGTATCCCCTCTTCTTGAGGTACGCAGGTGGTAACTCTGGGAGCAGCGGGAAGGAACCTCAGAATTCACAAGCTTCTGTCCATGACAGGCCCTCCCCTGCCTGGTTTGACTGTTTGCTGTTCTCTGGTCTCTTTGAGTACATTGTCCATCTGTGGCTTTAACCCTGTGCATTTCTTTCTCCCTCTCAGACATGCCAGTCTTCCCTTGCGGTTCTTTCATCCAGGGAGGCTGTTATCCACACACTCTGCCTGTCCACCCTCCATGCACCTGCGCAGGAGCGGGTGTGCCTATCCATGTCTGCACAGGCTTCTCATCATTTGTGCTTCAGGTCACTTGACACCCTCCCCAGCTTTCCTCCCTTCAGATCCTCTCCAGACACTGTCCATTGTTCTTTTCCATCTTTGAAATATGACATTTGCCATTTGCTAGAAAATCAGTACATTGGAGGAGGAGGTGGAAGGAGAATTTCTGTCCAGAAGCCACGTGAAGTCTGCTTCTTAACAGATCCATTTTTATAGGTTCTTTCTGTAAGTGTATGCAACTGGCTTTCCCCAGGCTGTCTTGAGCAGTCCCTGCATAAGGGCAGGGGTGACCTTGGCTCCCTCTTAAACAAATTTAAGAATATGCAGTTAAAAACCCATGCAGGCATGTAATTTAAAAGCAAGGAGAATAACAGCAAACAAGATAAAACATGCATTTGGGAAGACATTCAGGTAGGTAGTTTGATCACAGGGAGTCAAGTCATAGAAACAAAGTGGATTTATCAGAGAGAAGCAATGAATTGGAGGTGAAAGAGAGACACCATGTAGCTCTAACATTCATAACTACAGTGGTTGACCAGGGTTTTTTTTTTTTTTTTTTTTTTTTTTGTGGAACCGGGAATTGAACTCAGACCCTTATGCTTGCCAGGGAAGCGCTTATTCCACTGAGCCAACTCCCAGGCCCCCTGACCAGGTGCTTTTGATGAGTAAGGATGAGTTCCTTTATCACTTTTTCCTCTGTGGATAACTGCACCCGTACATGAACGCCTGTCCAGTCTTTCAGCCGTAGCAACACATTGACACTTGTGGGAGGGCGAGGTGACAGGGGAGGGTTCTGAGTTCTCTCCAGCACTTACCACAGTGGAAATAACTTTGGTTGTGTGTGTGACATGTAATTTGCAAAATTTGGCCAATAGAAAGTAAGCAGAGCTGTGTCCTTTCTGGGCAGAAGCACTTAAGACTGGGTGAGATTTTCTGTGTTCTCCTCCCTTGCTTCAGGAGACCTTGCTGTCTCATACTGAGAGGGTTACATGTGAAGGTGGTGGCCCTTTTGTGTGACTGAGGTGAGCAGAGCCCCTTCTGAGTGGTGTGTATGTGGGAAATAAACCACTGCTACTTTAAACAGCCAAGATAATTTGATACCACGGCTCAACTTATCTCATGCTGACTGATACAGTAGGTAGTTGATAACAAGCTTTTATTTATTTATTTTTAAAATTATTTTTAGTTCTTTTTATTTATTTATTTAAGTGTGTGTGTGTGTGTGTGTGTGGCCAGCTCAGCCCACCAGGGGGCGAGGCTGGCTGGCATGTG